CTTCTGGAGAGGAGCAGAGATACACGTGCCATGTGCAGCACGAGGGGCTGCCTGAGCCCATCACCCTGAGATGGGGTAAGGAGGGTTTGGGGTAGAGCCCCGTGTCAGAGAAAGCAAGGCCCTTCTGGAGAATTTCACAAAGTGAAGACTGAAGCCAGAGGTCTGGGCCCCTCACCTTCCTTCCCTTTCCAGAACCATCCTCTCAGCCCTCCATCCCCATCCTGGGCATCATGGCTGGTGTGGCTATCCTTGTGGTCACTGTGGTGGTTGGAGCTGTGATCTGGAGGAAGAAGTTCTCAGGTAGGAATAGAGTGGGGGGATCTGAGTTCACTTGTCCCGCTGGGGGGTTTCCTAGGTAGCACATTGTCCTGCCTGGTTCCTGGGAAGTTCCATCCACACACATGTACCTGCCCACTCTGGAGCCGTTACTAATATTCACTCTGTAACAAAGCACTTGTGAAAATCAAGGACAGATTTTCACTTGGTAATTCTGGTGATGGGGACCTGATTCCCAGCAGTGACAGGACACAGAGGAAGGTCCCTGCTAAGGACAGACCTCCACAAAGTCAGGTGGGTCAGATCCTGCCTTTCTTCATGTTTCCCGATCCTGTCCTGGGTCTTCAGTCAAAATTCTGGAAACTTCATTTTGGACCAGGACTAGGAAGTTGCTCTAGGATCTCATGGCCCATCTGTCCCAGGTTTGTAACATGATATTTTCTTCCCACAGGAGGAAAAGGACCAAGCTACTCTCTCGCTGCACGTAAGTATGGAGGGGGTGATCCCTGGCACCCTGGGATAGTGTAGACAGGACCCCATGGGGAGCTCACTGCCCCCACCCCCTATAGCTGCTCCTTTAGTATCAACCCCTGTGGTTCTGATCACGTCCTGTGTGTTCTGTCCCCAGGCAATGGCAGTACCCAGGGCTCTGATTCGTCTTTAATGGCTCCTAAAGGTAAGACTCTGGAGGGCCTGAAGAGGGGAGGAGTGGGGGCACTAGGGACACTTTGAACATGTGAAGGGCTGTTGAGAATGTGGCACTTATGTGACTGATCTAAATGTGTTCATGATTAATTTTTTCGCAGTGTGAAACCTGCTCCCTTGTGGGGGTCTGACCAATGCAAGATTTGCCCACGCTCCCACTTGGTAACATCAAGAACCCCTGACTTCTCTTTCTGCAAGTGGTGTCAGAATGTTCCCATTATGCTAATGTTCCATTAGCATATTGTGAAAATGTTGGGAGACTGGCCCACCCTGCCCACCATGACCCCTCCCCATACTGATTCCTGTTTCCTTTCTCATCTGCTTTCTTGTTCCAGCAGAGGTAGGGCTGGACTGTTTCCATCCCTGTCTTTATTTCATGTTGCTCAGAGTATTGTTGCCTTACTTCCCTATTGAAAATGAGAATCCAGATATGAATTGTGTTTTGTAATTCTTGGCATGTGGGGATGATGAGGTAATAAAGAAAAGATTTGTAAAGTTGAGGCAGAAAAGAAATGAAAGCACAGAGAACCCTCCAGAATCTGTGTGTTTGCTGTTCTGTGTCTGTTGCAAGTGGGGACAGGAGAGGGCTGGAGTAGCCGAGTGTGGATGGGGCCTGTGTCCAGTCGGTGCTCAGTGCACCTTTGGCATGACGTGCTCACTCCTCAGCTGGGTCATGTCTCTGCTCCTTGTCCTTGTCCCTTCTGTGGAACCTTGTGTCACTAGGACCTGTGATCACAGGGACTCAGACATTACCTGTCACAAGGACCTTGTGCAGCAAGTGCTTCCTGTGACTGGGTCATCCCAGGCTCCATCCTGGGTTGAGCCCTCAGCCCCATCTTTTGGGTGTTTTTTATTTTTTTCTGTGGAGCATCAGGCCTGTTTTTGCTCCTGTGTCTGAGTTCCTGTCTCATTCTTCCTGGATGAACTGGCAGTTACAGCAGCAGGAGTCCTTTGGGCTGTTGTTTCCACAGGCCTAGGTGGGCCCTGCACACAGGAGTCTCTGTGGTTTGGAGACATGAATTTTCAGATTCATCCATCTCCTCCCTCTTGGTTGTCTTCTGGATTATTCTTTACATCCTGAGGTAGACAGAGAGGAATCTGGGAGTTTCTCATCCTTTTCCAACTTCAGTTAGTTTCTACCTTCTTTGCCTCTCTGCCCCCTCTTCCTGCCCTTAGTTCTAGTGATGTTGGTGCTGGTTCCCATCCACATTCATGGATTTATAAAGCAGGGTCTAATGTAGATTTCTATGTGGTTGGAGAAAGGGCCCCATTGAGCCTAAGGCCCATGGAGCCTGATTCTGAAGACAGGACTGTAACTGTGTGCAGTGCTGTGCAGGGGAAATGCTGTGGGGGCGGGGGG